CACAGAGACAGAGACACACAGAGACAGAGACACAGAGACACAGACACACAGACAGACACACACAGACAGACACACACAGACAGACACAGAGACAGACACAGAGACACACAGAGACACACAGAGACACACAGAGACACACGCGGGGAGACACACGCGGGGAGACACACGCGGGGAGACACACGCGGGGAGACACACGCGGGGAGACACACGCGGGGAGACACACGCGGAGAGACACACGCGGAGAGACACACGCGGAGAGACACACGCGGAGAGACACACGCGGAGAGACACACGCGGAGAGACACACGCGGGGAGACACACGCGGGGAGACACACGCGGGGAGACACACGCGGAGAGACACACGCGGAGAGACACACGCGGAGAGACACACGCGGAGAGACACACGCGGAGAGACACACGCGGAGAGACACACGCGGGGAGACACACGCGGGGAGACACACGCGGGGAGACACACGCGGAGAGACACACGCGGAGAGACACACGCGGAGAGACACACGCGGAGAGACACACGCGGAGAGACACACGCGGAGAGACACACGCGGAGAGAGACACGCGGGGAGAGGCACGCGGAGAGAGACACACGGAGAGAGACACACGGAGAGAGACACACGGAGAGACACACACGGGGGGAGACACACACGGGGGGAGACACACACGGGGAGAGGGGGAGACACACACGGGGAGAGAGGGAGACGGAGGGAGACACACACACGGAGGGAGACACACACACGGAGGGAGACACACACACACGGAGGGAGACACACACACACGGAGGGAGACACACACACGCAGGGAGACACACACACGGAGGGAGACACACACACGGAGGGAGACACACACACGGAGGGAGACACACACACGGAGGGAGACACACACACGGAGGGAGACACACACACGGAGGGAGACACACACACGGAGGGAGACACACACACGGAGGGAGACACACACACGGAGGGAGACACACACGGAGGGAGACACACACGGAGGGAGACACGCACGGAGGAGACACACACGGAGGGAGACACACACACGGAGGGAGACACACACGGAGGGAGAAACACACGGAGGTGGGAGACACACACGGAGGGACACACACACGATACACACTAGAGGGAGACACACACGGAGGGAACACACACGGAGGGAGACACACACGGAGGAGACACACGGAGGGAGACACGGGAGGAGACACACACGGAGGGAGACACACACGGAGGGAGACACACACGGAGGGAGACACACACGGAGGGAGACACACACGGAGGGAGACACACACGGAGGGAGACACACACGGAGGGAGACACACACGGAGGGAGACACACACGGAGGGAGACACACACGGAGGGAGACACACGCGGAGAGACACACGCGGAGAGACACACGCGGAGAGACACACGCGGAGAGAGCACACACTTAAACACCTTTTATACACGAACATCTCAATAACTGAATGACTAAACGAATCAATCAATAAACAAAATAACTATCCCAAAACACACACACACACACATATATATATATATATGTGTGTGTGTATTATCAAACACATGCACAACACACACACACGCGCATTTGTTATATATATACATATATATATATATATATGTATATATATATATATACACACATAGTGCATTTCTCCCCCGTAACGGGTGCCATAAAAGAAGGTTCAAAGAGCCCTTCCAATGGGGCGGACAGCCCGGTTGCTTGTGATGGCCCAGGCCGCTGCAGGAGCTTAGCCCGCTGGCGCTGTTGCTTTTGCCCTTGCTGCTGGATGGGCCGGAGAAAGCCCCGCAGGCCGGGCGAGCTCCGGTTCAGGCGGTTCAGGCCACAGGGAAAGGACAGCTGATATTGGAAAAGTCGACCAAAGACAAAGACGAGGATGAAATGTCTAATGTGCGCATTGTCATTTCATATGAGCGATGTTTGGCGCTGCGGAATTTCAACTGTGGTTTTGAGCTGTCCGGGGCACGGCATTTGGGCTAGATGGAGTAGTGCAATACGGCACGGTTCACAGGCCACGAGGGTTCGCTTCTGCTGTAATGTGTCCATAGGGCCATTCTGTTTGTAGGTGTCCGCATCTTCCAACCACGAATGGGACTCTGGGCAAGAAGCCGACCATGACTTTAGAGTCATGACAAGGTTATTTCCCTCCCATTTCAGTCTGTAAACCAGCTTGCCCGTATGGGTTTATCAGCTCCATGCAGCTCTTGTGCTTTTGGCTGACCCTGTGAAACGGCGCCTGGCAACGCCCAAGACCCTAGCCTGGACCGGTAGCGGGACACCCACGGAACCGCCATGACCATCGCCGGGAGTGAGCTTTGACCGTGCAGGATTCGTTTGCAGGGTGAGATTTGTTTGCAGGTTGAGTCCCCAACCTTTGTTTTTTGGTTGCCAAAGCCGGAATAAGGGAGAACAACCTTGCCAAAGCCCAAAGCCGTACAAGTCAGCAAACCCCACCGGGCGGTCCAAACCAAACCCGCCGAGTCAAATCGCAGAGCGCCCGGAGGCTTCCTTGGCCCTGGGCCTCCGCTCCGCCGCGGCAGAGAACCGCCTGGCGGCCATGCAGCTCCTGCTGGCGCGACGTGCTGATCCGCGGCAGGCGCGGGGGAAAATCCCTGTCCACCCGCTAAGGTCGCGTGTCGGGTTGGCGGGCATTGCCAGAAACGCAAAGAAAAAAGGCGGACTTAGCACAATCAAGCAAGAAGGTTTCCCAGTTTTTTTTTTTGGGGGGGTCTTCTCTGAAAAACTCGGGTTTGGGTGGTGGGACGTGGCTTCAGCGGCTGTGCGTTTGTTGGGCCTGTGCGCCTGTCAAGGGTGGTTGAAACAGGGGGGTCCAATCGTTGCGAGGCTTTCCTTATTTTGAACGGCACTCAAATTTTCCGAGGCTGAACGTTGGCTTTTCAGCTTCGTCGGTTGTTTTTAGTTGTGGCTGGGGGTTAAGGAGTGGCTTACACTTCAAAAAGCAATGGGATTTGAACCAGTGCCTGTGGATGAGTCCCGGGTAAACCTGATCGTCCTGTACTGTTCTATCACATGCAGGCAAGCTGGAGCTAATCGAACGATTATTCCCCAACAGCTGAAAGCTATGTGGTCTCGTCCCGAACAAGCTTTGGAGTGGTCCAAGCAGCTCTGGAGGCATGGGGCAATGGATTTCTGTAGGGTTCTGGGAGGGTTCCGAGGGTCTCTGAAGTGTCAGAAGCTTCTCGAACAGCTGAAAATCTTGGGTCCCTGCTCAGATCGGCTTCGGACCTGGTTTGGCTAGGGTTCCAAAAGGGTCGAGGCAGCTTGTCCCCAATCCCAGTATTGACCTCGGTTTGTGCCATGCTTGTGTTGGAGGGTCATTTTCCGTTGGCGGTGTTGCGAGTTGACTCCCCACATCTCGGTGAGGAGGACGGCGCAGCTGCGCTGGTCTTGGCCGTCGGCTCAGCTGGGGCAGTGGGATAGTTCCGCACTCCGACAGATCCAGCCAAATGGCTGTAAAATTCAGGAAATAATGCCATCACAAATAGTTGGTAGATAAATCCTCACAAAGCTGATGTGATATCCACCCGTAGGTCCCCAACTCAGTTTCATGTCCGCATCAAAAGCCAGGAATGTGGAGAGGAAACGCTCTCTGAGTCACACACGCTCACATCAGTGCAAAACCTTCTGGGCAACTTGTGAGGGGACCCTGTTGAATCCCAGGATCAGTTGGAGCGCACGGCCATAGAATCGTTGCTCCCTTGCAACATTCGCCAAGAACACGAGAATTGGAGGACCCTCTAGCAGCACAAGTCTGAAATGAAGGCGATCACAATGGCACATCCCATTGGTAGCCGGGGTTTGCGGCCACATCGGACAAGCGTGTGACGACCGTGCCTGAGGACTCCCTTCCCTGCGGCTCTTTCAATGGTTTTGGGCATGTGCTTGGACGTCTCGACGCATCAGTCTTTGACCGGTGCATGCTGCCCGGCTTCAGCCAAATCAGGGTTGTGGATGCCGGGCTCAATTTGAGAGGTGAGGATCATTTATGCGTGCCCTGTTTGTGCCTACTTAAGGACAGCGACGCAAGCAAATCAGACATTGGGGAGCTCAGGGTTAGAGCTGGCGAGTTTGGGTATGTCTGATGGTGTTAACCTGGGATGACCGCTGGGGCAAGTGCTTGGACGGCCGCATCTACATCCTCGCCGCCGTGGTGGTCGATGTGGAGCTTGTGCTTGCTGATCCAGAGCGGCTTCTCCCAGCGGCCGTCCAAGAGCTGAGTCAACAGCTGCAGGCAAGAGGGTCTGGCTCAGTTTTGGTTTTGGGCGGCAGGTGGAAAGGGAGGGCAAAAGAGAAACCGACTGGACAGCGATTGATATTGACTACTCCCCGTTCAGCATGTTTGGAACGCGCTGTCGCTTGTTTCGGCAAACGGTATCAAGAGGCGAAGCAGCACTTGCGTGGCTTCATGATGAAGTGCACCGAAGTTCTCCTGGCTTGTGTTGGCAACAGGTCCTTTGTTTGGCGATTCTGAGTCGCCGTTTCAGAGGCCCTTCGTGTTCTCGCAATCGAAGCCCTGGATTTAGTCGTTTGCAGCCCTCAGTGGAATTCTGCCCGAACTAGACAGACTGAAGGACGTTGCAGACTCACAGATTTTTTGGCCCAGGGGGAGCTGCCGCCCTCGGTGGCTTGCATGAACATCCAGCTGCTGCCGAGGCAGGGCGTTAGCAGCCGGCGCCTGCGCCTGGCCTTCGTGGGGGATGGGGATATGTGCGCCCAGTGGCACCAGCGCCAGCAGCTGCGGCAGCAGGAGCCCGCGGGTTTCCTGTCTTCCAAGGCTGTCTGGGTTGGTACTGTTTCAGGATGTTTCGAGGGGTTGAAGGAGTCAAAGTACCTCCTCAGAAGGTTCAGGGTGCTGCAGGTAAAGTCACGTTCAAGGGTTTTGTTGGCAGGGCTTGGCTGGTTGTCGTGCTGCAACTTTGAACGGGTGCCGCACTTTAGGCTTGGCGGACAGGCGATCGTTCTCCAATTGTCACCCTCAGCACAGACCCCAACAAAGAGGGGAACTGCCACCCCAAATTGGAGTCCACGCGAATCCGCGAGATTTGAAGCGCCCGGAAACTGGAAACGGAAAGGAGCTGTGCGGGGGCAGCGTCATGGCCAGCTGGCAGCTCCTGAGGGACACCTCCAGCGTGGAGCACCAGCAAAGGCTGGCGGAGCTCTTGGCTTTGCACTCGGAGGCTGAGACTTGGCAAGGCCAACTCAGCCAATGGAAACAGGGCCCCTGTTTCTTCTAATTAAGTCATTGCAGTGTTCCTAGCTTAAGGAGAACATCAGGTTTTGTAATTCAAGTCAGCCAGTCAATTAGTTTTCTGACCTATTCACTTTTCGGATTTCGACCCGACACGTTAATTTTGTTTTTTCACGCATGCCTTTCAATATTTCGACATTGATGCAGGGACACTTCACGAAGTGTTCGACTTGTCGACTTTTCGGATTTCAACCCTGAGTTTTTGACTATGCGACTTGGTGGCTAGTTCGCTGCAATGGGTTGTGTTTCGGTCGGATCCTACCACCCCAGCCCTTTGATACCAACTAATTAGTTGGAGATTCATGCAGGCTTATCTCGTGCAACATTGAGAACCTTTTGGGTGCCCTCAGTAATCAATAAAGCGAGCATTTGCTTGTAGAAATCAAGGCTATCCCCACTGTTCATGGGCGTGCACTTCACCCTGTACAATTTCTTTGGTCAAACAATGTTTCCTTTGGGAGGCCCTAACAACTTCGGCCTGTTGGGGGCGTCCAGAACATGTTTGTCCTTTGGGAAGACCCAGGCGTATTGTCGTGGCCTCAGAACGTTACCCGAGTCCACAACGCAAACAGTGCCATGCAAATATTCGAAATTCACAATGCTGACAATGCTGCAAATTCATTAAACGTCAGAACATATGTTGAGCAAAGCTTCATTATATGGTGTGATATTTTTTGTAACATGCGTGTTCTAGTTGAACTTGCGTCAGCAAATGGATCAATATCAGTCAAGAAATAACGACCCCTTAGCCCCCAAAGGCATGGTAACTTGCCTAGTTGTGTGGTCACTGATGTGAGGTTTGCTTGAGGCCACTTTGGTTTAGGTTGAGGGTTGCATGTCATGACAGACTTGTCGAACGGCAAACGCCGTTTGGCTCAAGCGCTCATCAAGAAAAAGGGCGCTGAGTGCGGAACTAGAGCTTAGGAACAACCCCCTGAACCGCTGAGGGATTAACCACGGTCAATCCACCTCTTTTTGTTCAGGGCGCAGCCTTCGGCGCGCGTTTGGGGTTTCTTGCTCTTTTGATTGGTTATCAGCCGTATAGCCTTTCTTTCGGGATTAACTAGGCCCTCCCTCAGCGGTTCCCCCATAAGGGGGCGCGCATGGCCGTTGAGGAAGAGTACCACAAGCGTGGAACTCGCGGAGGAGCCGCAAACAAGAAGAGAGTGTGGTGGGAGCTCCAGGAGGACGTGATCTACGAGGTCCAGCAGCGTTTTGGGTTTACACCACCCAAGTTGCAGTGGGAACAGGGATCAGAGGTGCAGCTTGCTGCCCTTCGGGCCTGGAACCGGGACGTCACTGAGCAGCGCTGGGAGGAGCTTCACAGGTGGCATCAGCCTACGGCCCTTCGCATCCGGGCAATCCGCGAAGAAGAACGAAGGGCCGCAGCCACTGGCGCGGCGGGTGCAGATCCAGTGCCTGCCACTCCCTCGTCCCCGACCCCATCCACACCGCCGCAGCAGCAGGCGGCGCAGCCTTCCGTGGCCCAGCAGGCTTCACCTGCTGAGGCTTGGTTGTCTGCTCCGGCTTTGCCCACAGCGAGGACCGCAGCCCACGGCGCGGTGGCTGGTACAGCTCCGAGGAGAAGGACATCTACGACCTCCACACGGTCAGTGTCAAGGCAAGTTCTACGAGCAGTTTATTCCCAAGTACCTATCGTGCTTAGGTCTCGCTCTCGGTCAAGAACTCCGACACCGATCCAGGAGGCCGCAGCCCTCGGCGCGGCAGGCGAGTCGAGCAGTCGGGAGCCTTCGGGAACCCGCAGAACTCCTCGCCCGACGACCAGTCGATCCTCGCGAGGCAGATCAAGGAGTGTGCCATCAAGGACCTCGCCAACCGACAGGCCGATCGTGCTGGCGCCAAGGAGCTCGGCCTATCCGACGGTCCGCATCGACCGGACCGGCACGTGGACACTGCAGAGGGAGCAGCCCTCCGGCGCTCCACGGGCATTTGCAGGTCGAGCCCGATCACGTTTGCCGCAGTTCAGTGATCCTCACGAGCTGCCAACGGACGTGTGGCTCCGCCCCGAGGCCTACGGGGAAAGGTCCAGTTCCTCGACCCCAAACTACGGGAGCGCGGAGGTTTACCATCTGGCAGACTACTCCGACGGGGATACAGCGCACAACACCGAAGATTTGCTTTCAGGCAGAGCAGCATTCCGGGCGGGTGGGGTATACGAAGCACCGTTTCATAGACCTACATCGCCGGCCCCACCTCCGGCCCCTGCTACGAAAGCCACAGCAAAGTTTGGGACGCGGCCAGCGGCGCGGGGAACAGTTGGAGCATTTTTGGCAAGCAGTCGCGGACGTGTTTTGAGCAAAGCAAGATCTTCTTCGCCTCCACGCTCAGCAGCACCGCCAGCCAGAAAGGCTTCTGTCCCTGCAAGCAGCCGGCCTGGCCCACACATCAGGTACAAGCAGCCGCCGGCATCGTTGAGGTTGACACCGAAAGGGCAGGGAGCAGCCTTTGGCGCTCCAGACCCACCTTGGCGACAACCGCCGAAGCGCTCAGCCTCCTCCACCAAGGCGAGAAAGCCACCTCAGCCTCCTCCACCAAGGCGAGAAAGCCACGGGATCCCAGATCCCCCACCTCGGACACCCCTCGCGAACCGGAAGACGCTCAACATCGTTCTGGACTGGCACGGGGTGCTCGACGTGAACATCCGCTCTGGGGGAAGGCTTCACCCACAGATCGTGGACGGATTGGTTCGTCTACAGACAGCTCACGGTCCATTCAATTGGATTATTTGCAGCTATTGTGGGGTGGAACGCGAACGAACTACGGCACCGGAGATCGCCACAGCAAGGGTACACTTGGCTTACAAGGGCATCTACGTGGGTACAACGCAGTTCACGCGCTGTAGGGTTGGCGTTGCTGGCAAAGCAAACCTATTGCACGGTTGGGCAGCACACATCCTTGTGGACGACAACGCCACAATTTGTCGTGAGGCGCGACTTACAGGCGCGCACGCTTTCCGGGCGTACCCCAGCCAGGGGGTGCAGGGGACTTTGGACGCGTTGATTGCCATTGAGCAGTGGTTGGATCAAGCCGACCGAGCGAACATTCAGCCTGCCCGTGCACTCACTGCCGCTGAGCTCCTTGAGGAGGTCCGCAGGTAGCAAGCCACCCGGTGCTCACGACAAGGGTGCAGCCGTTGGCGCACCTAGGATAATTTTCCCATCCTGTGCAGGGAGCAGCCGTTGGCGCTCCGAAGAACTGTGGCGCAAAGACGCACGAAGTCACACACATTTCCAATCGCACACAACTGCATTGGCGAGCCTTCACATTTGCATCCAAATTGCAAGCAGATGTTTAGGTTCAAAGGAGATTCCCCATTATCAATTAGTGAGGTATATCAATCCTTGTGTGACTGAGTGCGTTGCTGCATCATTCAATAATCTACGTTGAGTGTAGCCGTAAGTGCACATCTCATAATCCCACCAGGCACAAATCACCGGCCTTGGAGAGTGCTGCCCTTGGCGCACTGACTTGGTTCGCGTGTGCAGGAAAAGCTATCGCATCCGTGCGGCTCAGGCATGAATTCCTCTGGCATTACACCCCCATCCGAAGATAGGTCTAGATCCTCACATGGCACAGACTATGATGACCCAGACCTTGCGGGTGCAATGGTGCCAGCCATGTCTGTTGTTAGGCATAACCCTAATAGCCCTGCACCAGGTTCCGATGCAACCCCTGTTAGGCGGATGTTCGTTTCAGAACCATCCTCATCAGAGCCGGCTGGAACGCCCGATCCAACCCAGAACCTCCCAGCTGCTGCATTTGTTGCGGGTGCCGCCGTTCAACGTGCTCACCATGCTTCCGATGTCGCGCTTCAGGCCGCTGAACATGCACAGCAACAGCAACTGCTGGCTGAGCAGGCCCGAAGGGAGGCGGGGGAACTCCGGGAAGCCGCCCAACAAAGGGAAGGGTTGTTTAGGCATCAGGCAATGAACCTTGTAACCCAGGCTCAACAGGCCGTGAGCTACGCACGCGAGCATGAGTTCAATGCGAGGCAGCAAGCCATTGGCGCTGCGGAACAGGAGGAGGCAACCAGGCAACAGGCCGAGGTGCTTAGGCTTCAGGCGCAGACTGTCGTTTCTGAGGCCCATCAAGAGGTAGGTCAGACTAGAGCTTTAGCTGAAAGGTACGCAGCAGAGGTTCGCAACAGAGCTAATGCTGAACAGGCCCAAGCCCAAGCTCAGACCCAATACCTTTATCAAGAAGCACAACGTGCCGTAGCCGAACGTGATGCCACCATTCTAGCTCTGCAAGAGAAGGATTTGCAACAAGCGTCTAGGTTAGCCGAACTTGAAAGGACGGTTTCCCTTTTGCTTGAAGTCCGTCAGCCTCCGACTCGCTCGCCGCAAAGTGCCCCGCAAGCACAAACCGATAATGGTACGGATTCTAATACCCCTCAACCCAAACGGTCGCATAACCGGAGCTCCCCCATTTTGGGTGGACAGGATGTGTCAATGGGTAACCAAGCAGGGGCTTCATCCAGTGGATTGCAAGACCAAGCAAACCAGCAGAGTGGACTTGATAGATCCTCACAACAGGGTTTAGATAGTGCCGCACCTCAAGTGGGTCCTCATCATACAACTGGTGTTGACTCGGGCGCCCAGCCCGGTGCTTCCTCTGCCAATCTGCATGTCACATTCCAGGATGTTGCAACCCCACGTGATGTTGCCGCAGGAAGTGTGGGACTCGCCAAGAGCCTTGCCCCTACCGGCCCACCACAGGACATCGCAGGAAGTGCGGGACTCGCAAAGGGTTCTGCCCCTACCGATTCAGAGCAAGGTGCCGAAGCAGCGATCGCCAAAGGAAGTGCCACGTCCGCAAAGGGCGCAGCCCCTACTGGCGCACTCGATGTAGGTGCAGGTGTCGCAAGCAACAGTGCTGTGTCCGCCAAAGGCGCAGCCGTTGGCGCGCAGA